CCTTGCCTTGCCTTACACTTGTCCTCCAGTTGAAGTTTCTCTTCTCCAATTTGTTGCATTTTTTTCTGGAGATGGTAGTTTTCCTTCCTACTCTCCTCTAATGCCCTTTGGAAGGATGAGACGACGCCATTTGGGGAAATTGGCCGGCCACACCAGGAAGGAGAGGCGGCGTAATCTTTTTGAATTGGTTGTTTTTTTTTCTTGGAAACATGTTGGAGTTGATTAATTAAGAAATTAATTGTCACAAACATCCCCAATATTATATAACAGACAACAGAAAACAAGACAGTTTTTTTCTACGCAATAGAACTACAATACAAGTTTGTTTTAATTATCCTACTTTTTATAAAAGATAACATTTATGAAAGAATATGCATTTAACTCATTCACTGCCAGCCATTGGCAGTGAATGAGTTAAACCCATTGACTCATGCACTGCAATTGACGGCTATAGACGTCAATGGCAGTGAATGAGTTAATTAAAAAACTCTATTCATCTAAAGGGTAACAAAAAGGGGGAGCTTCCTGCTCGAAAATGAAATGTCCCCATTTTTCTGGGCGTGGGTGCTTAACTAGTTAAAAAGAACACAAACAAACAAACATCTGTCTCCTATTTTTTATGTCACACAGGAAAGAAGCTTCAATATCTGATGAGAAGACATTAATTTGTTGGTGTTTGTGGTGTTTGGTGCAGTTTTCTTGTTTTCTGGGTTGTTGTTTATTTACAGGGGAGATGAAGATCTCTAACAAGTTGATTTGTTCACATTTGCACATCTTAATTTTTAAGAGGAACGTGTTTGTTGAGTTTGTACACTATATGCATGTAAGGCAACTGTTTCCTTTTTCAGTATTTTGTGAGGTGCATTTTTCTCTGTTTTAACAAAAAACAGACATAAAAGACATTTAAGTCGACCTAAGATGATTTGTTTAAATTTCTACATGGTCTTACTGAGGTGATGCAAAGTGAAACATACTTTCTTCTTTTTTGGTAATGTGCTGGAAAAGCTTGAAAATGGACCTTGAATGTGCTTAAACAGTGCTTGAATTTGACCCTGAAAGATGTGCATGAACCCTGATATTAATAAAAGGTTGACCTAACTGATCAAATAAAGTCTGTGCGGTTTAGTTGTTCCACTCATATTAAACCAAATGATGGTGTGGCGGCCTGTTCTCGTGTGAACTGAGAGAGGGTTTGAATGTAAGAGAGAGGGGGGGGGGAGGAAAAGGAGACCTAAAATGTAACCCCTGCAGCTCGACTGAGGAGGTGAGTTACATTAGTGCTTCCTCTTTATTAGAAAGCGGTTTGAGTGAATTAGAAGTCTTGTTTTTTTTGGAGGATATACTCATTAGTCATGCTAGGCATCCATCTGAACTCTATCAAAATAAAGGTGTATTTTAACTCATTTAAATTGTTTCTAATACCAGAGATATAGGACTATACAAAGTAGCTGCTGACATCTAAAACGACAGCACACTTATTGTGTCTTTCTTCACCTCATCACTTTTTTCTGTGTGTGTTTTTCTGTTGATGCCTTTCAAACAAAACTAGCCATGATATTTTCCACCTTCCTCCTCTGACAATTAATATCAGTTAACCCCAGATGTCTCATGCAGATATCCTAATTCTGTGTATGGTAATCTTGCACCATTAAACTGTTAGTGAATGAGGCAACAATAAAAGTGGGAAACGTGCATTAGCAGATCAAGTGGTGCCTGCTTATTTCCTGCTTTATGTGAGCTTCTGCTGTAGTTTATTATGTGCTTTTAGCCCCAAGAAACCAGCCTTTTACTGTGGCGCACAATAAGATCTTCTGATGTTTGGTGTCATCTTCCTGTGATCTCCTGTGAACAGGTGGATTAATTCACTTCAAGTTTATGTATGTAGCACCAAATCACAGCAGGCGCTGAACACTGTAAAGACTCTAGAATAATTATGGAGGCACAACATTTAAAGCTCCTATCCTTCTGTCCCACATACCTAAAAGTTAGTTATATGATAAATAGCCCCGTGTTTGTTTACTTGATTTGTAAAATGCAAAGTGGTGACTTTTTCTTTTCAAGTACGTCCTCATATGGAGACAGTTTTTTTAATGGCATAAAACAAGTCATTGTTTACAAAAATTAGTAGATTTTATTGGGCAGAATGAGGTAAACAGTGAAGAAAAGTATGAGAAAACAGAGCACGTCTCCGGAGACTATGGCAACTAGATTTATTGTATACGTGTGTGTATTAAGGACTGACACAGACAAAGAATGAATCAGACAATGAAGCAATGTCCTTTTTAAATGTTTATTAAAACCATTCAAGTATTGAGTCATGAATAAAACAGTAATCTCTGATCTGCTAATTGGGAAACAGAGGATGTCAGTGTATTTTTCAGTGCTAGTTGTCCAAATTGAGTGAGAGGACTTTACATTTGAATAGATTCGATTACAAGTTATCTTTGGTTTTAATTGAATGAGTTTAATTTGATTTAAATCAAGCCAATTCACAACATATAAACTTGAAATATATGGTAAGATAGGGGCCATCTGCCTCCACCGGTTGGGGTAAGAAAATGAAACTAAACTATAGGAAGACAAAGAGGAAAGATGTTCATGATATATATGAAACTTTCCGCTAGCCCTGACTAAAATATTGTTTTTGACAGGAAAGTATTGTTTCATTCATTTTTATTCCATGAGGTGGACAGCAGGAATAGAACAAACCAGATACTAAGAAAAAAAGTATATAATGAAATATTCTCGATATGCTAATATTCCCACTGAGACTGGATAAGATTATTCTAAAACTGGTAAAAAATACAATTCTCTTCATGCACAAAAATCCCACCACTGGGCCCATCACATCCCAGCCCAGTTCGCATTCTGCATTGGAGTCCGTCGCTCGATACCACCGCGGCCAGTAGCGGTTTTTTAAATGGGCGACACGGGCGGTTGCCCGGGGCGGCATCTTGGTGGGGGGCGGCATCATGGGCATCGGCGAGAAAAAAAAATTGCTCGTACTCATGCTGCCCCGACGTCAGCCAGCGCATATTGGGAATAGTACAGGCACCGATCGGTTTTCTATCACCCATTTGCTGGGAGTAAGGGCGCCCTCCGTTTGCGAGGTCGCCTGCTGCTTGCGGCACAGGGAGGAGAGGGCGGGGCGGCGGGGGATTCTCTGGCTGACCATCATCCCGGAAGCTGCCCTGGCTTATAGCCATGGCGACCCTCTCCCAACATGGCTGCACCCAGTGAACAACAATGAGACACTACTGACAAATGCAGGCAGTGGTGTACATCTGCCCTGATGTCAATCACATGCGTTGTCTCCTACTGTCGCCGTTCCTGCTGTCGGGACTGGGTCACCACATCACGCTGACCGGTCTCCAGACAAGGCATCGCACCCCCCACGATCACGCAGCGACTCTCTCTTTTCCACCTGGCCTTCATGCGTTCCTCTTCCAATCTAGGGCCTGTCTCCTTCCAGTGCTCAGCTTGCTTCCTTTTAATACGACCTTTAAAAAGCTGAAAGGACACCTCTGGACACACCCATGCCTCAACATGTGATCCCTATCAGCTAATTTGTCCCATTGCCAGCCAATCCACAGTGGATTAAAACAATGTAAAATAACACACTGAAACAATGTGATACAAACAGAATAAAGTCATGCAAATAAAAACTACACTCACAAATAAACACTAAAATCAGAAAAAACCCCAATATAAACGATGAATGCAAATTTCTACTGTGTGAAACAGTTTCACTCTTTGAATATTTTTCATTTCTTACAATCAGAATTCTCCAATAGATTTTTAGAAGAAAATTATTTTCTTTCATGCATCACCAACTGAACCTTTTATGTTAACGTCTCAATCTCCAGCCTAACCTCATTGAATTTTGCTTAGCAAAGTACTTTTCAACTCTAATAATTAGTAAGATTATATTTCTTATCATCTGTTGGTCGTCTGACCTGATAAACTTCAATGAGCATTATAACACAGGAGTGATTGTCTCTAAAAATGGGCTCCTGCACGCTTGCAGACATTTTTCCATCACAACTTATGGATGATGAATGATTTGATTAAAGCTGTGAAACATTACTGATAAACTTCATGTGATGTTACATTAAAGCCAATTTTCTATTAAAATCAGGGTCTTTTCTAACTGACTTCTGACCTTTGAGCAGTAGTGTGTACTGTATGCTTGTATGTAACTGTATCTGACCTGGATTTTATCACCAGTTTCAAATAAGAATCTTCTTTAAAGTCTGTCTTTCAATACAAAATAAGTTAAACTTTATCAAGGCTGATGGTAAATTGTCCCTAACAAGTCCACTTTATTGCGTGCTCATTGACTTTCTCCTATCAGAACTGTTTAACAAGTCCACTTTATACATGCTTATTAATCTATCACGCTTATCAGTGGCTCATGGTTGCTTAAAGCCTATGTCTGAACTTGACCACAGAGCCAGAGCATCGTTCAATCTTGGCAACAGCTCCCGGATGACAAACTCCACTTTCTCTGCATCAAGACAGCTCATAACTTTTTAACAGTGTCTCTCTGTCCTCATACTTCTATACATTCTTAACAGTCTGTCCCTGTCCTGATACTCCTACATCATCTGCTATAATCAAAAACCATGGACTCTCACTGCAATGTACGCTACAGCTAAAAAGTTTAAAGCAACAAAACAACCTGAAGAGTCGGTCGGAGCCGAAAGATTCGGATCTTTTTAGTGAGTCGAGCCGAAAGTGCCGGTTCTCTAAAAAGATCCGGAAATCCCATCACTAGTTTCTTGAGTAATGAAAGTAGTAGCAGTTTAACCAATAGCTGCTCCCTGAACCTTACTTTCGTTTTCGTGTCAAAGTGAAAGTGAACTAAAAGGCACATACGCTGAGTGTGTCTGGTTTGGTGACGACTGTTTTTAAACCCATAAAGCCAACAGTTAACATTGCAGTTAAAATACATTAAATGTGAACACCTTCGGCGAAGTCTGCGTTGAAAGGTGAGTGTTCCGTGTGTAATGACAAGACTTCAGCCTTTAACCCTCGCATATTCGTCTTGTAGCCTATATGATTTGAACGTTGCTAGTTTTGCTTTTAAACACTGTTTTTTACAGACTGCAACCAATATCCTCACAGTCTTGACTGTAAATGACAATACTTACCGTAAAACTACATACATAGGTTCTTAAGCTGCTTCCTAATAATGTCCCCCTCCAGGCAGCCCTGGGGTTTTCTTAGTGTTAAATTGTTTCATTCTGAACTTCATTCTGCTAAATTGTGAGTGTGAATTATGATTTATGAGGATACGTAGTTTAAAAAGTGAACATGAGATCATTAGTTCGGAGCCAATCGCGTGAGATCAAGAGCGTTTCCGTTTCTATTATCCACACTTTTCCAGCGTTGTAGCAGTTTGGAAACAAACTAGCCCAACTACCTTCTCATGGAAAGAGTAATCGCTGTATTTGGCCTCCCTAAGCACACAGAGTTAGTCTGCACAATAGCACAAGGCATGTTGCAACAGCATGCATTATTTTGAACAGTGCCGCAGAAAGAGGGGTACTACTGCCTGCACCTTTTGTTAAATAGATCTGGTCAAGTGTGCAGAGGACAAGGACGGACGATCAAGCAACCTGATACTTTAAAACAATCTCCAAAAGCTGATTCTGTTCATCTGGACAAAACGCTACGTAGAAATGAACAGAATCAGCTTTTGGAGATTTACTTTCCTGGATGATTGAGAATGCATCAAGACACTTTAAAACAATGATATTTACTTGGAATAAAATTCATTCGAATTTATATGTATATATATATAAATCCTTATTAGAAATTCAACCTGTCCTTCAGTAAGCAATGTGCAGTTTGCAGGGGTTCCCAGCCACAGAACCCAAGTGATTACTCAAAGAGAAAAAGTTTAATGATTAGAGCATTACAATATTTTGCTTCTGAGGACCAAGGCTTTCTTGTATTTTTTTTTTTTTAATTGGTCTTGAGCAACAGATCTCCAGGCTTTGACAGTCTTTCAAAGTTTTTCTATGAATATTGGCATTTTCACTACAGGCCTTGTAGAATATTAACACTTAGATAAACCTATGTCTGGCTATATGTAATTTCATTGTAGTATTGTTACTTAGACTGAAGAACATGGAATTATTGGTTTCACCAATATATAATCTCTACCATTTTGAAGATTATTGCTTTGCAGTCTAGAGTGCAATCTTCCCGCATAGTCTGTCCATGCTTTTTTCTATGCTGACTGTCGGACAGCTGACATGTGATCTTTAGCCTAAGTCCTTACCTAACAAAACATTCAAACAATTCTATGATCATATTACGATTTCAAAGTCTCCGTACGCCAGTATTTTAAATACACTGATACTGTACACAAACCTTAACACCAAGGACTCCCACTGGCCACACGGGCTTGGGGATTGCCGTGGCAGTGAGTTGTCTATGTGTGGCATGAGGGGACCAAGAACAAGGCAAGGGAGAATCATAATTTTGTATAAAACAAGTGTAGGAATTGGAGCAGCGAGGAAGAATGCTGGACCCAGGGTGGAGCCAACAGCATCCCCTGGTAGTGTAATCTCAGACTAGCCAGTCTGGAGCAGTGCCAGGGTTCGAAAGCTGGGTAGTGTCGGCAGAGAACACTCACACTCAGGCAGTCCCAGGTCCAGTAAGAAGGATCATGGCTGAGTCCACCGCAGGGAGCATGGGGTCCACTTACTGGTCATAAGTCCAGTAGATGGATGGCCTTGAAAGGCTAAGCCATCTCCCAGTTATCACTGGAGCCTCAGTTTGAGGTGGTGCAGCTGTCGAGCAGCTATGGCATAGTGGCTTGAGAGCGACTGCAGCACTGAGGATGAAGAGCTGGAGATAAAGGTTGAGCTGTGTGTGGCATGGGAAGAATGGGCAAGCTGTGATTTCTTTATCTCTTTAAACAATTCCATGTGGTATATTCAATCAAAAATATCAGAGATGTTTGAATAGTAAAGCAGTCAAAGATGCATGATGAGAATAGCCTTCATGTCAGAAAAAATCTCACTGATATAACAATGTCTTTTTTTTTAAAATTTTAGACAATCTCAGAAAGTCCTTCTACAGCTTCCCACCCAGCAGCACCCAGTCTGTTGGATCCACTGTGTGGTCATGCCATTCTGTCAGGACTTGAGTACAATGCAGAATTAGATGGATTTAACATAGAGTTAAATGCACCTTTATGTAGGTTAAAACAGTAAATCTATATGGCAGGAGAAAACAAAGTCAGTGGATATCATTTTAAAAGAATGTTTAATGTTTAATGTTAATGTTTTGGTGTGAATGTGGGAGTGAATGTGAGTGCGAATGGTGGTCTGTGTGTATGTGTTAGCCCTGTGACAGACTGGTGACCTGTCCAGGGTGTACCCTGCCTCTCGCCCTGACACAGCTGGGATAGGCTCCAGTGCCCCCCGCGACCCTGAAAAGGATAAGTGGAAGCCAATGGATGGATGGAGGGTTTAGTGTTTCATTGAACCTAAAGACTAATCTGCACACAAATTTCTAGTAATGTTTTTTTTCTTCTGTCTTTCTTTTTTACTGTGTTTCTTTCTTTAAATCGGGACATGATAGTGTGTCTAATCGTGTCTTGTAGACTGTAGGGTTTGTGATTTTACCAACTAGGTGTTGGACAAGTATTTGGTTGCCTGTTTCTTCAAAGTACTTATCCGGGATCTTTTCTTTCTTCAGTCCTGGAGTTAAAACAAAAGTTCTTCTTGATATCCTGATGTCATGTCTTGTCTTTAAATATCCCAGACATGAAGCGCCACACACACAATGACAGCTCTCAGATGAAAGAAGCCCTCCAGCATGATACACAGCAAAATCCTCAAAAGGAGAAAGAAAAGCATGAAAAAGAACAGCACAGCAATGATAGCACAAATCAAGACAGCTTCTTGCCATCCTCTTCAAGAATTTGCAGTGCAGAGAATGTAAAAGACGGACAAGCAGACGGACAAGCAGACGGACAACAGAAGGAACGGACTTCATCTTGCTGTCAGCTGAAGGATATGGGGCGACTTCAACATGGAGACATGAAGCTGGGTCCCCTAAGATTCGACAAGAGACACACAGTCCTCATAGATGTAAGACCAACTCATTTAGTTATTTATTAATTCCTATTAGTATTGATGTAGTTTTACAGTGCCAGAGCTGATAGGTGGGCAGGTACAAATTTGCAAAGACAAAGGCAAAGTGATACTGGAAAACTTTAACTCAGGAGGTAGAGAAGGTTATCTACAAATTGGAAGGTTGGTAGTTTGATCCCTGGCTCCTCCAGTCTGCATACCAAATAACCTTGATCACAACAATAACCCCAAGTTGCTCTCTAATGCAGGTAAAAAATAAATATACATGAATGCCAGATAGAAAAAAGTGTTTGTGTGAGTGATGTATGTTGTATAAAGCGCTTTGAATTCTTTATAAGAACTAGTCCATTTACCATAAAGAGAACAAAGGATGCAAAGACAAAAACATAGAAATAAAGGAAAAATCACAATTGGTCACCAACTACTGCCTGCGTAACAAAACGTTAAAAAAACTGATACACAAAAATCAAATCTTGCTATGTTGTTTGTATGAGACCATGAGTGTCTCTGCATGTGTGTTAGTCATGAAACATAATTGATGAGAAACTGCAACAATGTCCTCTGGAAGTCAGAGGCAGACAGAGAAAGGCCCAGGAGACCCACTGTCCACAGCCCCTCAAGAGCAGTGAAGACCTGAGGCCAGATGTCATGATGATAACTGCATGCCCATCCCTGCATAAGGAAGAGGGAGGCTCCAGACAGAGTCCCCATGGTCAAAGAACCATGGAGAACCATTGGATTGATTTATTGGAAAAGAGGTATTGGTTGTGTTCTTGAAATTATACTTTTTATCTTTCAGGTGGATACTTTCAACTCTCAACGGATATTTGTATCTCAGAAAGGGAGAGATCTATGGCACAGCGACTTTGTGAAGATGCCTTGTTCACAGGCAAGTATGACTTCCTCATTGCAAAAGGATTCACTTATTATTCAGGAGAAATAATTAAGTAACCATGTAAAGTTCAGTGGCTGTCACAACCCAGAACTCAAAGTGACTAAAAGAAATAAAAACCTCAGAAAATTAAACTGCCATTAATAGCAATATTAAGTCAATTTAAGACACAAGCCTGGGATTCAAGACTATGAGCAGATGTGTTTTACAAGAAGAGTTTTACATTTGGATCCTGCTCTGCCTGCCTCACAGCAAGCCCGTTTAAGCCCAATCTTAAAAGTAGAGATCCAAACTGGAAGCTGGCTCCACAGAGGAGGGGCCTGAAAGATTCAAGGCTCTGCCTCCCATTCTACTTTCTGATATTTTAGGAGCCAAGTTGATCAGCTGTCTGAAAGCGATGCACTCTAATGGGGTGATACAGTACTATAAGTTATTTAAGATAAGATGCAACCTGATTATTCAAGACCTTGCATGTTAGGAGAAGGATTTTAAATTCAATGCTGGATTAACAGGGAAGAAGAGAAGATGAAGAGAAGCTAGTATAGGAGAAATATGTTCTCTCTTTCTAGTCCCTGTCAGTACTCTTGCTGCAGCATTTTGGAGCAACTAAGGGCTGTTCAGGGAGTTTTTGTGACATGATACTAATGAATTACAGCAGTCCAGGCCAGAAGTAATATATCTATGACGTTTTTCAGCATCACTGAAAAATTTAATACCAACAGCATGCTCTAATCGCTGTAATAAAATATTACTGTCAGCAGTATCGAATGCAGCACTGAGGTCTAGCAGGACAGGCACAGAGATAAGTTCACTGTCAGAGGTTTTTCAAACCTGCGAGACATGTTATACAGGTTTTTAGGCATTCAAGAGCCACTGGAGGCTAAGAATTGCTTTGTGTAGGTTGCAAGAGGTGTATTATCTAGGTAGCTGGAGAAAAGCCAGATAAGAAGACTGCAAGAAGTTGGTGTTGATGTACAGTGACGTGCATGTTGTTCACACAGTAGTAATTCAAACTAATGAGCAAGCCACAGGGTACTGAAATATATGTATTAAAATAACTGTCACTAGTCGCTAGTATCCATGATCTCATTCTTTTGGTCACTACTCACAGTTTATGCCCACAAGTGAGGAGAGGGACCTAGATCGACTGGTAAATCAACAGTTTCATTTTTAGAGACAGCTGTGTCCTCAGCAAGGTGGACAGCAGTACAACATGTATATCTCTGCGTCCTGTTAATTTAAACATATTCCATTATCTCTTATCTCATCTTAAATATCTTTCAAATGGTTCATTAAAAATGAGTTCTGTCATTCTGTCATCGGGTGATTGCGGCTATTGGCCGAGCGTGGCTCAAGAGTTGGGAGTTCGCCTTGTAATCGGAACGTTGCCGGTTCAAGCCCCTGCTTGGACAGTCTTGGGCGTTGTGTCCTTGGGCAAGACAGTTCACCTGTTGCCTACTGGTGGTGGTCAGAGGGCCCGGTGGCGCCAGTGTTTGGCAGCCTCGCCTCTGTCAGTGCTCCCCAGGGTACCTGTGGCTGCAATGTAGCTTGCCATCACCTAGGGTTGTGCGATATGACCAAAATCTCATATCCCGATATAAGAATTCTATCGTCCGATAACGATATAAATCACAAAAATGTAACATTTTCTGTGAATCTCGGGCAGCTCGTCTTGTGGGAAGTGTTTCCAGCTGTGCGTCATGTAGCTGGAGTCGAGTGTTTTAACCGATGCATGAAACGATACATTTTTAGACATAAGTTGTAACAGGCCGCCGTTTTCTTTGTGAGTATTTATTACACGGCGTGCTGCGGGGAAAAGCCTGTTCTAACGTTTGAGTCTAAGGTTTATTTTTTAGCACCTGGCGGCTCTTTTTTACTTCTCATCCGTAAATAATCTGCTCTTTCACGTGATTCAGTTTATTTTGAAAAGTCTCAACAGGATCTTGAGCTTTATTGTGAAAGGTTTATGTGGAACATAAACAAGCGGACACGCGATGGTGTTACCGTCGTTGTTGCTAACCACAACGCATAAAAACAGGCGCTTGTCCGTCCGTAGTGTGGTTATATTAAATATAAGAGAAAGAGAGAACTTTAAGAAATTAATATAGCCACTACAGTGACCATCAAAACGATGAAAAAATATTGCCGTAAACAGTTTATTTTGCGACACCACGAAACAAACGATAGCGTAAAATGAAACGATAGATGTTTTTATATCGTCATCCGATATATATCGTTATATCGAACAGCCCTACCATCACCAGTGTGTGAATGGGTGGATGACTGGATGTGTAAAGCACTTTACACATACAGGCCATTTACCATTGCTGGATGTCATCACTCACAGTATAAGTTCTTGGCACTATCCCATGGATCCTGGAAAGTCTGGATTTTTAATTTTTTATTGCAGTGAATTTCTCATCTGGGGCTGACAGATCATGTGGTCCTTGTCCTCTGCTTGTTTCCTTATTTTTCTTTTTTTAAATAATCTTTTATAATCTTTTCATATCCCTTTGATTCCATTTTTTTTTCTATTTACTTCATTCACAGTGCTCCACCTAATTCACTAACTGTCCCCTTCTATCCTCCACTGCATTCTGCATTCATCAGCTTCTCAAAGTACTTGTTCCCATCTTCTCAATATGCTCTCTTCACTTGTGTTTTTTGCCCCATCTCCCTTCCCTTAACCCCACACGGTTGCGGCAGAAGGCTGCCCTCCCTGACCCTGGTTCTGCCAGATGTTTCTTCCTGTTAAAAGGGAATTTTTACTTTCCCAAGTGCTTGCTCACAGGGGTCATATCTTTGTTGGGTTTCTCTTTGCAATTGTAAAGTCTTTATCTTACAACATAAAGCAGAATGAGGCAACTATTGTGATGATTTAATAATAATGTATACTTCATTGATCCCCGTGGGGAAATTCCTCTCTGCATTTAACCCATTCACTCAGTGAAGCAGTGGGCCGCCACTGGGGAGCAGTGTGTAGGGACGGTACCTTGCTCAGGGGTACCTCAGGGTGGCCGTTCAGTGGATTCAAACCCCCGACCTTCCAATCATGGGGCCACCACTCTACCTACTGAGCTATCCCTGCCCGAAATTACGCCCCATTTGGCACTATATAAATGAAATTGAATTGTATTTTGAAAGATAGGACTAAAAACTGAGGCATCTTAACCTCAGTGAGCAATCAGAAAACCACAAAACTTAAAACCATAACCAAAAATTGGACTAACTCAATAACTCATACTTAAATGTTAAGTACCATTAGTTGAAAACACAAAAAGCTGGGAGCCCAGGACTATGACTCACAGTCTCCAGTTGTGTGCTAGTTTTACAAATTTTCCCCCACTGACAGAGACTAACATGAAGCACATTTTAAATGTGTTTTAATTGTATTTCATTTAGGCTTATATAAAAATAATACAGATTTTATATGTTGTCTCAAATGGAACAGAGCACATAAATGTAATTGTCATTTCAGGTAGCACATCAGAAGTCAAGGTGGGATGTGATATCCAAAAAGCTGAAATCTCTGGCCAGTAAGAAAACAGCCAGTGTCAAAGATGTAGAGGTATGTTGGCAAGAGTGGATATTGAATCATTGTTCATTTTTACACTGATAATGTGAAATTTGTTCCCAAGGACACATGAAAAGTTAAACCGGTGCTATTCTTTGACCATGCTTAATGTGAATTTCTGTGACTGTTATATAAGCATATTAGGTGGTCTTAAAACTTCTCTCATCAGGAAGCTATCATCAAGTATAACCCCAAATATAAAGATCAGTGGTCATTTGATGCCCTCCACAAATTGGATAAGGTGAATACCCACATTTGGTAATTGAATTATTAGTTTTGTGACTTGACTATTTAAATGAGCGATAATAAGCAATGAACATATTTTCTTTTCAGAATACCCATGATACAGAAAAGTACTACAAGACACTGTTTCCAAAGATTGCTGCATTGGCCTTGAAGCTCCCTAGCTTTGTGAATAAGGTATCATTTCCAGTTATCTTCTACAAGTAATATTGTGTTGACTATTGAAATAAATGATCTTCTTGGAAAATCAAAGAAATACAAAACCCTCCAAAAGACTTATAACGTAAAATCTCTC